AGGTCGCCTAAACCCTCCTCGAGGAGCATTGCGTGGTGAAAAAGCACATGTGAAAAATCACAGAGGTACTTGCCCGAAAAAGTCGTACTATGGCCGGGAATTGAACCACGGTCTCCCGCGTCTCAATCCACGACCTAGCCGACTGAGCCACCGCGCGCTCATATATATATATATATATATATATACATACAAATCAGTATAAGAACAAGCATCTACAATCTTGAAGTACATACATCTTACAATAAAAGTGCTATTATATCAATTAGAACACTACACTTACAGTTATTTTTCTTTTGTATCATTATCATGTGTTAATTACGAATTTACTCTTTGTTATCTTATATTATTGTAAGTTACTCGTAGCTACACCACCCTTTATCTACTATAGTTAAATTATGCGTAGAATAGAAAATCGTAAAATCTCTTCTATCAATCAATTAATTTATCATCACATACGGATAAAATTATTTAAAATTAATTTTGGATGAGAAGCGACTAATTACACAGCTAGTAGATAGTCAGCGCCTAAGAGAAGTGCATGGGTTATGATATATTGAGCTATAATTTTGAATGAGAGTGTTTCACGCTAAATTTTTTAGTGTAGTTATTACTATTGTTATTATTATTATTTTTATTATTATTGGTATTATAAGCGTTACTGTAATATATATATATGGGAATCTTCACGAGAGACGAGTGCATTGAACTAAGAAGACTATTTATTTCATTTTTACTGACATATGTGCAAAGACTACATTATTAATGTTGTTTGTTATATTTACAGTTTTTAGTATTGTTCCTCAAGTCTTAGATAGTGTTTGACATTGAGTCTTAACAAGTGTAATGCACACGTTTTGACTTTATATAAGTAATTTACATTGAAACAACAAGCGTTTTAGACGTTTAGGCTTTTTTTAAATAGTAAAGAAAAACAAAAGGTTATTTTACACACGAATTTCATGAAAAAAATAAAATAAAGTCTAGAATGGCATTCGAGGCTGAGGCAAAAAGCACATGGCGACGATCATTGAGTACGTAAAAGTATAGAACGACATTGAATAAATAAATTTGTAATTTTGTTCGGGTTGAAATCCTGAATATAGGAAGCCACCAGATCTCGAGCTGGAGGGACTATTCAAGCGGCACTTCACCACCGTAGAGTTCTTTCAGGGCACCATTATGAATCCAATAGATCTGCAACGGGTCAAGGTGAGTAGCTTTCTAGAGTAGTGAGCTTGTATTATATAGTAAACGATGACATGAGTTTGCGACACTTACTTGACATTAATGCAGGTTATTTATTAATTTAATTATAAATAATTTTTTTTTTGTTATCATCGTTTCTTTTGTGATACTTATCCTTTACAAACGCGTTAATGCTGTTTAACGTTGTGTGTTAATATCTCGCTCGTGTGTTCATGTTTTTATGTAACTGAATGTACAAACGTGAGTCACTCATTGGCTGGTATGTCACATATACCAAGGTGTGTGTATGTGTGTGTGGGCTATCTTGCTACATACTCGAAGGACATTTTAACACAGCGCATAACTTTAAACATTTAAACAAAGTTTTTATCATCAATATATGCATAGATCTGTCTATATTGACTTCAATAATATATATTTGCCGGTATCAGTCGATCTGTAAAATTACCACCCAATTATTTTGCTTAAATAAGACAGTTCTATCGATGAAAGACGAAACTATCGATAACGTAAGAATATGAATGCAATATATTGATACTTAATCTTTATTCTTGTTCCAATTTTCCTTGAGAAAAATAAATTAAATGTCATATATGTATTTTATGCATTTGTAAAAATTTAATTCATCCATGTAGCATAATTCGTGTTTTGCTGTGTGATCTATATCTGAAGCTGTGCAGTGATCCCAATGACACAACTTTCAAAACATGTTTTCCGTTATGTATACATACAAATGTACAAAAATGTGAATAGATTATCTTAAAAAATTACATGCAATTAGGCTCGTATTCTACAAGTAGCTTCATTTTCATTCCACAATCTCTTGGTTTTAAGTTTGATCAAACATTTAAAAAGTTATATTTTTTCCATGAAATTTTATAAGTTGATATTTTAAATGCAAGGGCAGTCGAACAAATTTTCGCATCTCAAAAAAATACACTTTTTCTACCTTGAGAGTTTTTGAAAGGCTGATGTGCTCTCGGTAGGAAAAATGGTATTCCCCACATAAACTCCATCCTTCCGGGGCAACCTTACGGACCCTCGGGCTGAAAAATAGCCCTAAAGGTGATGGCGCTTACCCGACGAAAACTACGATTTTTCTGTTAAATGTAAATAAAATTTTTTTTAAATTAATTTAGTACTCTAAA